TATGAATTGTCAAGTTTCAAAGGCTGGATTTTTGGCAACGAACAGCCTCCATAGTTTAGGGAGGGGGTGGCCCCCTCCCTTTGTAAATGGCAGGGGATTCGGGGGTCTTCCCCTAGAAAATTCGGATTTATAGATGCAAAATAACGCAATCTGGAGACATTTGACAACATATTTATTCCCTTCTTATCTAATAAATAGAGGATATTGAAAGAGTGTTGGTTTAATACTAAATTTATTTAATGAGTTGAATAACAAGAAAAATATTACATACATTCGTATGTAATATAGGTACGATTGCATACTACTTTTTGTGAAAACTTTGTATGCTTGCTGCATTATACATGTAGGTGTAATGTAAAATGAACAAACATGTCATGAGATATTTTATATCTTTAAACATTTTCATGGAATGTTATTAATGTATCATCATATTAAAGTTGCATGCCTTCAGATGAGAAAAATGATTTCAAGGAAATCAAAATATGAAAAGAAAATTCACGGTCAATTGACTGCTTTGAAGCATAATCACAGAATAAAATTACAGGAAATTAAAAACCTTTTTAATACACTAAAGGTAGAATTTCATTGTATTTTAGTCATAGTCGCAGATTTGAGATATGATTATTTATTCATATTAACATCATTATTGGTTATATATTGATAAAAAAACCGAAAGACACAGTTTGTAAATATTTATTACAATAAAATATGAAAAAAAGGTATTTTCCATCCTATGCGACGCGCCGAGGTTAGCTATATTTATAACTCCCGCGCTAAGTCGCGGTGGTGCTTGGGATAATCACTCGATACTGTAAATGGCAGCCATTTTACGATACGAAAATGCCTGGCCCTCCTCGGACAGTTTATCCTGCCGAAAAGATATGAAAAAATACTTGCAATTCAAAGTTTGTTTGCTACATAAAGATTATCGATTTACTCTTTGCAAACTTTTTCTCTGTCTGATTGTAATAATATTGGTGTGTTTTCATTAGCTTTAACCATCTCGTTATCAATACACATAAAGGTGTGAACTATTTTCGTGTTCATTAAAGTTATTCCGTTAATAGAGATATAACAATCTTATTTATAAATGAATTGATAAAACAACAATCCCTGAAGCATTTAAGATAATAACAATCATTGAGAAAAATAAATGCATATAAATTGTAAATTTGTGTATGACAACTCACCCCCAAAACAAAACATAATAGACTCAACCAAAACAAGCGTCTGCTTCTTAACCTAACTATGTAGTTGCATGACCATGATTAGAAATAGCAAACCAAATGTAAGAGTTAAACCTATTGTAAAAATAATACTATGACCACAGCAGATTTCGTACAGAAAAATATAATCATGTGAGCCTGTGGCGGGTTAAGGGAGGGAGTGTCCCCTTCCCTTTGTAAATGGAAGGGGGTTTGGGGGACTTCCCCCGAGAAAATTTGGATTTATAGATGCAAAATAACGCAATCTGGAGACATTTGACAACATATTTAATTCCCTTCTTATCTAATAAATAGAGGATATTGAAAGAGTGTAAGTATAATACTGAATTTATTTAACGAGTTGAATAAAATGATTTTATGTGAGCCTCTAGCTGGCGAGCATAATATTATTTTATTCACATCGTTCAATAAATTTAGTAATGAACTTACACGCATGTAATATTCTATTTATCACATACCAAAAACAAAGACCGTTTGAAGTGATAAAGAAACATTTTTCATTGAAGCGCCTTTACTATAACTCTAACATTTAGCGCGTCTTAGCGTTGTGTTTATATAACGCAAATGATGTCTTGTCAATATATGCCAGAGCAATACCATTTTTAAGCAGTCGCAAACTCGGCACGGGTATGTGATAAATTTCATGATGATATCTAAGCCAAGATGGTTATTCTCTGAAGACAAATGCAAGGCGGCGTTGTTTTCTTGCAGCAAATTTATCAAATATGTACTCGGGGTTAATTTTCATGTCTCTGTAAATATTCATTAGGCCAAGCCCAGACAGCCTTTCTGTAGTCATAATAGATCTTAAGTATGTATTGTGCCGAATGATCGTTCAGCTGTAGCCGTAGACACTGGCATAGTGAGCAGTACTAACAAACAACGATGGACATTGGGATAGTACTCGTCGTACTGCTTATTAGCCAGTGGTAATGTTCCTAGAAGTGTCTGACAGGAGCTTGTGGACGGTCCAACGCAAGTGCCCAATCTGTCCACCATGTTACCCACTTTATCACTTCCGTGGTAGAGGTAGTTTCGTCCTTACACCCTAGACAACGTTTAAAAATGACTTTTTATTTCAGTTTTATTATAGATCTAGTTAAAAATAAAATAGAATAATATTTGATGTAATTTGATAGAAAAAGAATACATTTGAATATGATCTAATGACAAATTACATTATTTTACCTACTTTAAATTTCTTGATCTGCATAAACTTACCTCGATTTAAATGCATATATGGGTCATTCTATTTTTTATTTATAAATTACGATTTTTTATGTCCCTTTGATCTTCGCTACTATTATCTGTCTATATTTTTAAATAAAATAGAAAAAACTGTCAGTACCTATTAAATATACAATGAACCCATGAAAAAATAACAAAAACTCAATAAAACTATAAAAAAGTTCAAAATATTCACCAACTTCGGATTAGACCTCCTTGATTTCCTGACGTCCCTTTGCGTAGTATCGTAATTATTGTTTTAAATATAACTTTAAATGATTGATTTCTATTGGCTATTTTCTCATAAAAGTTTATAAATATGAACAAGTAATGTTATAAGTAAGTGAATAGGAATTTTAAATTAAGAAATGTAAATTATATTTTTTGTAAAAATTGTCCCCTGAGAAAAGTTTCCCTTCCGTAACCGTCATAGTAAAGTGCCCGCATAACAAATGTACCCGACCAGTGAACTTTTACTGTGACGTAATTTAAAGTTTTAACGCGCGCAATGTTTATCCTGAAAACGTGTTTTGAGAGAATCCAGCGATGGAAGATGTAAAAAAATAAGACGTAAGTACCTGAGTTTTTCATACGTATACTTATTTATCTTCATTTCGTACTGTATTACACAGTGTAATCTACATTGTAAGTCAATTATATCTTCCGTTGCCTAATATGTCTCGAGTTCCTGTACACATATCTGAAGGCGCCATTTTGGTATCACGAGTGATTTATTCGGGACAAGGCAATTACAGACAAATTTTCATTTCCGTAACTTTCATTTCCATAACCATTTTTTGAAAGCCAATCTTGGTTACGGTAATGTAATAATGGTTACGGAAATGAGTAAACTGTTGTTTGGATATCTATAAAAACATATAATAAGAGTTTTTTGTGCACCCACGAAGTGTGAGGGCATAAAAGTTTTTTATCAATGAAAATTGCCTAATTAACATTTTAAACTAATATAATCATACAAAATTCATTAAAATTTTTGCATTGATAATGCAGATAAAAAATAAATCTTGTCTTATTATGTTGTGACTATAGATCTATTACGAAATTTCAACTGTTTCAGAGAGAATCAAGACAAAATCTTGACTTTTTTTGAACAACACTTAGGAAAGCTTCAAGGCCCCAGTTATCTACACTACTGCAAAACAAGAAGGGTTACGTTAGCCTGGGCACAAGCTGTCGGAAGGTATTCGAGGAAATTGAACAAGTGGAAGATACCATTTTGCTCATACGTAGAAGGTTAAAAGGAAAATGCCACTCACCAATGCAGAAAAACAGAAACGTTGGCGAGATCCGCCAGAAGCAGAATGAAGACAACGTACAGAGAATACCTAAGAAAAGAAAGAGAAAGGGTTACAAAAGCAAGAAAGAGCGAGGAATTGTTCTATCTATATCAGAATTGGGCACTCGTGATCAAAGAATAAACGTCGCCAATGGCGGAGGAGAAATTGCCAGAAACAAAAAGATAAAAGATGTGCAACTTAGAAATGCCATTATGAATCAAGTTACGCCACCAAACTTCTCCAATGTCAACCTGAGAATAACAATCAAAGACAACAGCAACGCAGACAAGCTGGTAGAAAAAAAGTAAGAAATAGGACAGAGCAAGGGCATATAGAGAAATATTTCAAGTTACGTTTGGCCTTAAATAGAGCAGAAAGATTAACGAGAAAAGTACAAGAAAAGAAATCAAAAGGCTACAGAAGAAACTGCCGAAGCCGTAAACGTGATCCTACCAAAGAAACAATCACAAATCGTGAACTGAGAAAAGCCTTGAACTTCTATAATTAATAGTACAAAATATAAAAAAGAGATATGATACAACGAAAAGCCCTAGACAAGAAAGTTCATATCTAGCATAGTTTGTTCCTACGAACTACTAAGGAAGTACCGATTGGGACAGTTTGCCAAACATACACTAGGAATATCAAAGCACCAAAGTGAAAACAGGCGATAAAAACAAGAAAGAAAACAATTAAATCAACCAGAATTAAAAAGGTAATAACTGAATTCCTGGAAAGAGACGACAATTCGCGCTTGAAAGCAGATAAGAACGCAACTGTTACGAGATATAAGCAAAAAAAGCAGATCCGATGTTGACTAGATGATTTGAAGCATCTTCACGCCAAATTTATATCTGAAGGTGTTCATAGGAAGATTTCATATTCGCTGTTTTGTAGATTACGCCCATTTTGGATTAGATCACCAACATTCAAAGACAGAGATACATGCTTATGCAAATTACAATGAGAACCTGCAGTATAAGCTTGAAAGAGCATATATCGAAAAAGAAATTGTATATATCAAAAAAGAATTCAAGACCTTGCAAAAACTCTTACTTGTAAATTAGACTGTAAAAAATGCATGTATAGGGAGTGTGAAAAATGCAAAAACAAGAGGCTAAACCTAATGATAGACGAAGAGAGAAGGGGAAAACAAGTCACATGGAAGATGTGGCAGAATAGAAAAGTAGAATTTATCAAGAAAGGGGAAGTAAAACAAACGACACGAATGATGAAAAATACTGAGCAAGGTACCATAGAAACACTTAATGAGGAAATCAACACAGAGATGAAACAGAATATGCCGACATATATATAACATCAACAACCAGTACAAGGCAATTACATATTTAAAGGAAAACCTCCAAGATGACGATGTAATATTTCATGTTGACTTTAGCGAGAATTACAACTGTAAATATGATAAAGAAATACAAGCTGTTCATTACGGAGCATCGCAACGCCAGATAAGCATTCACACAGGAGTCGCATACACCAAAACAGAAACGATTCCGTTTGCCACACTCTCAGATAACTTGGAACATGGTCCTAGTGGAATTTGGGCACACATGGAACCTGTTATTAAGTATATGAATACTCGTCATGAGTTTAAGACTTTACATTTTGTATCTGATGGACCAACGCCTCAGTACAGAAGTAAGTTCAATCTTTATCTTTTTACCACACAAATGTTTGAAACAGGATATTTGAAAGGAACATGGAACTTCCTAGAGTCTAGTCATGGAAAGGGGGCAGCAGATGGTGTGGGCGCGGTGGTAAAACGAACTGCGGACAAACGTGTGGAAACAAACGGATCTGATATAACTTGTGCCGAAGATTTAGCTCACGAACTGAAAGACTTAAACGTAAAAGTATTCATAGTCAAAGGTGAAGAAATTGATAGATTGGCAGAAAAGATCCCAAAGGATTTAAAAAGTATTCATGACATCATGAAAGTTCACCAGGTAATTAGACTTTTTGTAACACTTAAAACGAATACACGCTTATATCTAAAATATAAAACCACAACAACAATAAAATTTTATTCGCAGACTCAACATTACAGATGCATTTGGTTAACACATTAATAAGTAGAAATATTCTTTTAATAAACGACAGTTTAAAATAAAAGTAAATAAATACATTAAAAAACATACTTTACTTATTAAAGCGCAGATCATTACAACAACAAAAAATAATATATCATATAAATATTTTGAGCAACGTGTGTTTCAGGTGTTGGTGAATGAACCAGGAAAATTGCGCTCCAGAGTAGTGTCCTGCTTCTGTAAATACCCAGATGAATGCGACTGTTACATGAATGAGTCTGGTACAACATGCTTTCTGACAGCAGAAAAACATGTAAGTGTAGTGTTATTTTCTGTTATATGGTAACTGCTCTCAAAAATTCTCAATCAAGTTATAATAATTGTATTGTATTTGCCTTAACCCTGTCCGTCACAATCCAATGTGATAGCATTTACATGTATATAGTTAATGATATGTTAATTGTCTTTCAGATAAATAGCAAGTCGTCAAATGTCAATATTAATACACCACCAGAAGCTGAAAGAAGTGGTCCGTCTGATTCAGGGAGTGGTAATCTAGACCAACAGGAACAGTCACTGCAGGTAAATTTGAAATAACTGCAAAAGAAATATATAAAAGTCATTTTATTCTCTCAGCTAATCACATAATTTGCGTTACATGTATACTGTAAAATTTTATGCAAATTAATAATACTTGTAACTTTATATTTTTATTTTCTACATTTTACACTTTCAGCAATCAGCAATCCTCCGACCTCCACTTGATGTCGACGAAACATTAATTGGACAATACGTGGTGGTACTCTATGATGGACTACCATATCCTGGAGTGGTGAAGGACGTTGATGAAAATGACCTTGAAGTGAAGGTAACTAGATTTCATTTGGATTTGAAAATATTGATCACATGATGACAAATGTGTTGAAAGTTCTGTGTAAAATCACACGTGCAGTAACACATCATTATATAATTTGCAAAAACAAAAAAAAATAATATTATGATGAAAGATTTCTTGTAACTTAGCTACTCTATCTTGATCAATGTTATACTAAATATGTATGTTGTATTCTTTACTTGATACCTGCAATACAAACCATTTATTCGTCTTTGTTTCAGGTAATGCACAAAGTTGGAGTAAACAGGTTCTACTGGCCAAGCCCATTAGAAGATATATGTTGGTACACAAAAGAAAATGTCTTAACGATTCTCGAGTCAGAACCAAAAAAACTAACTGGACGTCATTGCCAAATTGATCCCGAAACATGGACATTGATTGTTAAACATTTAGATGTGTAAATGTGAATGCCATTTCACAAACAATAGTTTCATATTGTTGTAAAACAAATTGTTGGATAGTTTCTTGTTACTAGTTGCAACATTTATTTGATTCATTGGTATTATATATATAAAAAAAAGTTCCTAATGATAGTTCATGTGTGACAGTGTGCTATAATGGAAGCTGTATATTCGTTACCATTTGTATGGTATCATCATAATGATTCGACGGTGATTGCACAGTGTATACCTTTCTAAAAACAGTTCCTATCATAATTCTAGTTTAAATTGTTCTTTGTGTAAAATAAAAAGATTGATTTGAAGTTATAACTATGTTGATTATAGTTGTTTATCATATATTGTACTAAAAATGTCATTTCCGTAACCAAGACAATTTTTCCATAACCAATTATCATTTCCATAACCAACACATATTTTGCAATTATGCTTGTCATGTTATAAGTTAAGTGCTCATCACCCTATTATTCTTATAGAAAATATCCGGACCATTGTAACGATGTAACTTAATGTTATGAGGTCCTTGTATAGAGGCCAGTGGAAAATGTTACACAAAGCCTTATTTGAAATTAAAGTAACATGTAGAATTTCAGTGGTAAAAATGTTATTTAAAAACGGAATTTAACAATCATTTTAATGATGCTGTTTAATTATCCTTATAACTATGTATATGCATTAATAAGGTGTCAACACATCACATCATTTACTCATAAAACGTAAAATAAATTTGGTTATGGAAATGAAATTTTGTAGACAGGACACATCTGGTGAAACCTAAATTGAAAAAATACTTGCAATATTTATCGCTGCTACCACTTCAGTCCTGCAGAGGAATACTAACACAACTTACTGGTCATTTTTTTAAAGAAGTTTTGTTAAATTGCAGTGAAAAAAAAATATTTGAGAATTTGTAAAAATAAAATAGAATGACCCATTTATGGACATCGGGCCAATCTGACTTGTCTTTGATAAAGTGACTTTCTGTTCATCGTTGAAGAAGGCTCATGTTCTTGGGACGTTTTACATTTGGACGCCATTTGATTTTTCCTGCTAGTATAACTTCTTATGTAAACAACATTCGGAATAAAATAGGATTCTACGATAAGATGCCAAAAAGTCAGTACACATGACACTGTCTTACCTAAAATAGTACTAGCTATTCTACACTTGCAACAAAAAATACCGATACACTATTTAAATCGCTTTATATAACAAAATATTTTTTGTCAGCAAATCCTTTTTTCTCCGTCAAAACTGATGGCGATGCCTATGGCCTATGGCGTACTGGCGTATGCCCGGCTACGCTACTGGTAGATAAAGTCGACACTTAATTTTTTAAGTAAAAAATGACTGGAAAATCTGCATCAATAATTTATTTTTACATTATATATGTTTTATCTTGTTTTTGTGAATATTTAAACAATTTTTCAAAAATCTTTCCCAAACCAGTGGCATGTGGTCAATACAAATCTAACTACCTTATTGTAATTAAGTAAAAAGAACGTTTTGAAGCAGTTCTGCCTATGAAAAGTTTAGGTCATTTGAAAAACATTAAAAAGTTTACCAAATTATAAAAAAAATCATCCCATTCTGTCCTGCTCCTATACTTTTAGGTGACCATGTTCTTGTTTGTGGAAAAACAAAGTTATAACAATTATATTTATCAAGTGCATGTCGGGTTTAATCTATGCGTCGGAGTTATCTCCGACCATTATATATACTTTTTGCATGTTAAGAAATATTAAACTACAAAACTATTACATTCCTATAACTTTTTATTCGTAATGAATTAACTTCATATATTTGGATAGGCAAGGACCTTCATGTATAACAAACTCAAATTGACCGTGACTCGTGTATGACTTTGACGGCAAAATAATTGAATTTTCATAGATTATTGCTATAATTGCCTGTAATTTGGTAATTAAACAATGTATTATCTTCATACTGAGACAAAAAAACCCCCAACCATTTGGACCTTCTGCTGACCTAAATTTGATGAAGTGACCTAGCTACTTCTGAACTCAGCTGACCTAGATTATTTGATGAAGTGACCTTCTTTCTTGACCTTCCATGTTGAGATATGAAATTTGGACTATGTACATAGTGTCACTTTGATATCAGCTGACCTAGATATCTTAACAAGTGATCTACTTCATTTTCCTATGATGTACAGCTATGAAATTTTGACCATATGCATAGTTTCAGATGTAAAATTGAACTTTGATATCGGCTGACCTAGATAATTTGAGGAAGTGACCAACTTTCTTGTTCTTTCATGCACAGCTATGAAATTTAGACCATGTGCACAGTTTTAGATGTAAAATAGAACTTTCAGATTACCTAGATTTTGATGCAGTGACCTACTATGACGAACAACTATAAAATTTGAATCAAGGGCAGTTTTAGATGTAAAACTGAACTTTAATATCAGATGACATAGATTTTGATGAAGTGACTTTGAATTTGTACAGCTATGATTTCGGGCCATGTGCACTGTGAGTTTTAAATAAAAAATTGTTCATTGGACAATGATTCATACTTGGACAAAACAACAAGTGTGACTAGACCTACCAATTAAAATTAATTTCTTTTTCAAGATTTGCTTAAACCTTGAAAAAAAAGTAAAAAAGTTGAGCGTTGCCGCCGACTCATTCCCACATTGGGTGGGGAAAAATAGAGCGTAATGCCAAAAAAGGGGAATTTTCAGTTTTATTAACATTCAATAAAAAGACTAAAAAAACATGACTTTTTTCAATCCATAATAAAATAAATAAAACAACTATTGATTTAGGGGTCAAATGTCAGAGTCACATTGACATTGTAGGTGAAAACAATTTCCAATCAATAACTTAAGAACGCTTAGGCCTAGAAACTTCAAGCTTGGTATGATGATTGGTCATGCCCAGCAGATGACCCCTATTGATTTTGGGATCAAGGGTCAAAGGTCAAGGTCATGTTGACCTTGTAGGTAAAAACGGTTTCTGATCAATAACTAAAGAATGCTTAGGCCTAGGAACTTCAAACTTGGTATGGTGATTGGTCATGACCAGTACATGTAGATGACCCCTATTGATTTTGGGGTCAAGGGGTCAATGTCATATTGACCTTGTACTTAATGATGGTTTGTGACCAATAACTTAGCAACTCAAGTTGTCTCGGTTGATATTTTTATATTAAACTAAAAATGCTTTTGGTATACACATTTGAAGGTCTTATGTAATATAACAATTTGGCTGTCATTAATGAGGCCTACATGATTCATAAAATTTATGCATATATTTTTTGTAAGATTTGTAATAACTTAAATTGCTGCACACAACCTATGGGGTCACAATACTTATTACCTTGTGACTCAAAGTCATGACCTGTAGAGACTACATAACCCTTATTAATTGTTTGTTCACTGGGTCAGAAGTCATGCATATATAATAACCTGATCATATGACTAATTGGCTGCCGATCGGGGTCATACATGTTTTACAAACATATCTTGTATTATATTAATAATAAAATTTAATATCAATGAAGACAAAAATAGTTATATAGTAATGTGGCAGAGTTTTAATTAAGGAGTCATTTTTAGATCACAATGAAGTAAGCACTTGCATAGTTCGCAAAAGTTTGTCCTCAATTTTGTTTTCATTTTGCAGAAATATTTACCATACAGTGCTGTAACTCAACTCTATGTATTAAATTTATACTGTACCTATTTCATCATCATCATCATCATCTTAAGTAATTGCATCACTCCGCAAGGAGTATACTCGCAATTGGACATATTTACATAATGCACTCGATTTTAATGGGCGGGGCTAACTGTAAGTCGGTTATAGGTTATATACAGAGTTTTAGGAAACTAATTTTCTCACTTCACTTTGCTCGCTCGAAAATTAATTTCTTAAAACTCTGTATATAACCTATAACCTATACTTGTTTTTCTAAAAAGGCATATTAATTTTGCTCTTACTGTTTTCTCAAAATGGACTTAATGGTCACCTCCAATTTTTTAAAATGTCTATTATCAATTTTGGGGAAGTCAAGATGAAAATTTTAAAAGGTTAGTCTCTCAAATTTGAAGTCACTTCTCAAAGAGGGTTTGGATAGCTGATGGAATCAAACTAAAAGTGCATGCAACACCTGGACTTTCGGTAATACAGTGTGTTACCACTGAATTACAGTGCATCCATTCAATCATAGATTTATTTCACCCTTCATCTGCTGAATTTCTTAAATTGTCTATTCCTGATTTCATTTTATCAATATGTCACAGGGTGAGAAAAATGTGCATCTC